GAGGACTCAGCAGCTACAGGTGAAGTCCTTCTGAAGAACTGCAACGTGGACTCAGAGTTTCAGAAGTGGATGTGGATTGATCAGAACATGCTGATGTGTGTTGCATCATCCAGATGTTTGTCAGACCTTCAGAGAGAACCTGTCCTGACACGGCCTTGCAGGGAGCCAGAGGCTGATGTGACAGGGTTGATGTGGGACTGTGACAGGGGTAAACTGATCAGCAAGAACACCTCAATGCTGCTGTCGATGGATGGCCGGCGCCTGATTCTCACAAATGGCAACAAACACTCAAAGTGGAGGTCTCTGGATGAGGGGGACATCTGCCAGGAGAAACTCAGTAAGTCAGTGAGGATTACAGGGACAGAAAGTTTATCTGGGAGACCTGTGATTATTTAATTTAATTTCTGTATTTTATATTTGTTTTAAAGGTTTCCAACCTCAACCCAGTCACCAGAAAAAGATGTTGGCATTGTACGTTTCCGCAAACCACAGATACATAATGTTTGTGCGTTATTATGTAGTGGATAAGTTGAAACTTTATGTTTCAACAATGCTGTAGTTAACATGTGGTTAGGTTTCGGCATCAAAGCAACTTGGTTTTGGTTAGGAAAAGATCATATTTTGGCCTAAAATACCCAGTTTGAGGGGTTAAATTCCTAGTCAACGAAACATTGCAGCTTTAAAACCATTAGTCTTGCAAGTTAGACAGTGTGCGGGAGCCTTTTCTACAAGGTTTGTTCTTATTCTCTCTCCTACGCACCCATTTGGAAATAGGTGTGCCAAGTATTCCTTTGTTTTGGGGTGAAAGCAGCGTTGTCTTGGTAAAAAAGAACCACTTTTCGTGCCACAGAACACAGAAATGACTCACCAAATCAAGACCAGTTTTGTTGTTTGTTGGTGTCAAACAGTGGTCTGCAGCTTGACAGCTATCTCTAGGAGACACACCATCCACCATCCCCTCCACTTCCTGATGACAAAGTCAGCTCATTCACTACGTCACTTTAGAAATGCGGATGCGATACATGTGAAACATGCCAATTTCACATATTTGTGGTTTGTACAAATGTACAACATTGTCTTCAGGTGGCTGGGCTGCCAGACTGAAGTGAGTTGGGGATATGTGCATTCAGGCAGACAGTGGTAGAAGACCACTCAGACCGTTTACTTCAACCTGCAGTTACTGATTTGTTTTGTCAACCTGTTTGTGGCAGAAACAAGCTGTGAACACAATTCTGACATCTCACCGGATTTTAGTTGTTCAACTTAGCAAACAGTTGCTTATTTACACATCCAGAAGTTACAGACAGTTCTTGGTGACTTGGTTATAAGACTTTACTTTAGTTTTAATGACTTAAGTTTAACCTTGGACTTTGACCACTGATTTATATTTCTAATTTACTAACTAGTATAACTAGTCCATACCCATTGAGTACAGCATACCATACCATTAGAAATAAACAACAACATTGGTCCACAGGGGGAGCCACAGCGATCAGTTGCATTTTAGCCATTTTTAAGCATTTTTCTGTTGTTATAGCGCCACCCAGCTGCCAATTAGAGTTAAATTTCTCCAGTAACCTTGAGGCGTCCTGTTCTACATATCTACCAAGTTTAGTAAAAATCCATATGGCGGTTAGGCCTAGATAAGATATCGTGGTAATATTATATTGTTCACAGGACATTAAACTGCTCTCTTGACAGAAACGGTTGCATTTACATGTGTCATATTTTACAACAAATCATCGGTAAATGGTGGTTGAACAAAAGGTTTTGGAGACACTTCCTATTCAGTATAAGACTGATGATAAGTTTAGTGTTTGTATTTTATGTGTGACATGATCTGTAACAAACAGTGCCACTGTGTGTTTGTTCTTCCTCAAGGATCCAGGAGGGCATCTGATGATCCAGTCGAGTCTGATCCTGCAGAGGAGCAGAAAAAGAAGCTGGCAGCCATGACAGAGGAAGAGAAAAAATATCTCCACTGGTTCTATCGCACAGAAGACCGTACGTGCTGCTGCTCCTAAAACACTTCATCCAAATAAAAATATAGTGTTTCAGCCACGTATTAATACCAATGAATAAGCTGTATGTTTAGCAGAGTGTTGTCTTCTTTTTGTTGCAGCAACCATGTGGAAGTACGTGATGCTGGGACTGGCTTTCATCTGCCTTCTTGTTGGTTTTATGCTGCTGGGAATGGGAGCCATGGCCAACAAGTATGACCTTACGTTATACAGTGACATTAACATGAGAACACTTGAAGGAAGATGTATGGTATTTGTATTTTAGAGGCTGTTAAGTGACATAGTTTCCTGTCTTTTTTCACCAGGAACAGAAAGAAGATTGCAAAGTACAAGGCAGCAGCTGCAGCGGCTCTGAGAAATGAGGAGCTGCGGATCATTTCACCGCTCAGAGATGACAGCAGCAGCAAACCATCACCGTCACCCGATAGGCTGACGCAGGGACACAAACCCCCCTCACCCAACGGGGAGGTGAACGAGCTCAAAGCAGGGGACATCGTGGTCACATGGAGAGACGGCAACACCTCCTGCCTGTACCCAGATGCTGCAGCAGAGGAGGTAAAACAGGAGGAGGATCAGGAAGAGAAACAGGAGGAGACACACGAGAAGAAACTGGACGAGGAGTTAGTCGCTGAGCTGAAGGCCTTTGGCATGGCTGTCGATCAGAACGAGCTTGACAGTGTATAACCTCGCTCACTGACATGCCTGCACATGAATCATGGTCACCTGCACTCACAGAGCTGATATCTATGTTGGTGCAATACATTTTAAACAAGTAGAACAATTAAGCGTTATTCACATAATTGGCCTTCAACAACGAAAATCAAACTAAGTGACATGTTGTGTCTGTCTATCGATCTCCTCCACTCTGTACTACAGACAGCGCTGCACCTACACATGGCAATCACACGGTCTGTAGTTCCCAAACTACCACAAAGCAACAGTCGCCTGATCTCAGCCGACAATTTTGTTGTTTTTGCTTTTTTTTCTTTAGATCATGAAGCTTAAACAGAGGAGGGAAATATAACCGAGGGGCCAAGTACAGCTGAAAATGTTGTCATGATAAATATTTTCATGTCAGTTGATATCGATAATTGTCATGATAAATGACAGGATCATCGGCATACCGACACAACGCTACTTTATCCTGTTAAAACAACACTCACAGCTTGGATTCATTTTTATGAAAACAACCATTTTGATTATTTTGATCTGAGGACCCTTACGGACTCAAGGAATATGAACACCTTACAGGGTATTGAGGAATGGACACATTATTTGAGGTCGCCGACAACCCAGTTTTATCTATCTATCTATCTATCTATCTATCTATAAAACCCTGATACTAAAAAAAGTTGGGGCGCTGTGTAAAATCCTTTTTGACCTAAAGTATATTCAATTGAATACAGAACAAAGAAAATATATTAATGTTCAAACTGATAATCTTTATTGATTTTTGTAAATGTACACTCAGCTGGGTCAGGAGCAACAAAAGACTGGGAAATAAAATGACTGTTTGGAACATGAAAGGCTCAGTGTTGTTACCTCTTGTCCTCTGAGGCTCAGCCAGTTCTCCATCATGCATGTATGCCTTCAATTTCACATCACTGAAACCTGTGTATGTTCAGATCTGCTTTAGACTTGTCTGCAAATTCAAAGAATAAACACCTCATACTTAAGAAGTAGAGTTTTGTTGTTTTCCGTCTGAGTGTTTGGTTCCAACAAACATTTTTGTGCTTATTTTTGAAAGTTCAGTTCAAATTTTTGCCTCAGAGGGCAGAAGTTAAAGAAGAAAACCTCAACGATGGCAGCATTATTATTTTTTACAGATGGGTGACAAATTAAAGTAAAAACTAACAGTGTCTTAGAGGTGTGGAGCCTCAGCAGTATATTCAACTCTCCTGAGGGGATGAAAACAATATTTTCTCATTTGTTGTGTTGATGATGGAGGTACAGAGCGTGTTGCTGCAAAATCTCCCACAGGTGTTGAGCTGTGTTGAGATGTGAAGGCCATAACATGATTCTCAACACTGAGATGGGAAGTGGGGGGAGCTATCTGAGTGAAAGTCCAGTTCATTCACCCTCTCGGCCCGGTCAGATTTTAACTCTCAGTGAGATTTTTACCTGGTTAAATAAAGGATTTTTTCTCACTCACAGCTGGAGCTCATCTAAAGCTTGGATCACACTGAACTTTATCTAAATCATTGTTACAAAAGGTGAACAACAGTGTTAGAAAATATCTGGTTCTTTGGTACAAAAAGCCCATGGACATAAAAACTGAAATAAAGATCATCAACTACAATTCCCAAGGTGCATTTCACCAAGAAACATCCAATCATAGAGCTTAAAATTCTGTCACATGCACTGCTAACAGTGGGCAGGAGCTGAAGTTTATGCCACTGAGATAACAGATTTTATAATCGCCACCTTATATGGCGATGTGTTCAAAACTGCAACAATGAAGTATTTTGAATGGGTGGCTGACTTCTTCTCCATGGCAACAGCTGCCAAGGGTCATGGGTACAAATATGGGCCTTTTCCACTGTCACCTTTGGCCCCACCGAGTCAAGCCATGCCGCGCTACTTTGCGTTCCCATTATCAGTTTAGATGCACCGTGACGCGCTGAGCTGCACCAAAGATGAGACCTTCTCCAGAGTAGGTCCAAAGGCCAGGCCACCCACCCTCAAGAAGGACCGCAGCCAACCCCCAGTGACCCCATTTCTCCCCCTGAGACAAGCTTGTGTGTTGCGGGACTCTCCTCCCCTCTGTCTGCAGGCGACCAGAGAGAAAGGCATTTTTAAATGTCTCTGTGTGTTCAGCTCTCAGTACATCTGTAGTGTCTAACTGAATCTCTGTGGTTTGGAGTTTAGTTTCTCTCCTGTGTCCTGTTTTAACTTTAAATATCTGCTTTCTTTTACTGTTTCATGTTCACTATCCGCGTGTTAGAAATTGTGTGAAGTTGCTGCTCGAAAACTCAACATTTCCTTATTTTGTTGGGTCACAATAAAAGTTTTTATATAACAAAATAACAGGTCTTTTACTGTGCAGAATCTACAGGAAATGAATTATAAAGTTTTAAAAAAGTTTCTAAAAAACACTAGACTTAAACTATTAAGGATAAAAATGACTAAAATGTTACTGAAACATTTTTGTCTAAAGACTAAGACTAAATCTAAAATAACACTGACATAAAGTGATGGTGCCAACAGGCACTCACTCACTCAATACTGGACTAGTTTAAAAAAAATCTTGTTCCCATTAGTCACTTAAAATACGGTCCAGGTTGAAAAAGTCACACAGCAGCTCTTCAGTATGGCAGCGAATACTTTCTTTGCCCCTCAGTGTGAAAGGATGTGACGCTTAGTAAACGTTCCCATGAACACAGACGGTATCTTTAGTTTTTAGTGCTGTCTGCCAAATTAAAAAATGAAGCCAGAGTTCTCAGCAACAAAAGTTCAAACAGATGATGAGAACATAAACCTAAAGGGTTCTTACAGTCAGAGAATCATCTGTTTCTCTGCTCATGTCTTCAGGATTCATTCATCTGTTCACTGTGGAGCTGTTCATGTTATTGTGTCCACCCCCTGTAGAGCTCTGCAGTCTTTCACAGAGTCAGTGGAGATGTTGGGGGTGACACAGTGGTGTCAGAAGATCTTGAAGCCCTTGAGCAGAGTGAGTGTGGCGGCCCTCCGTTTGCTCTGCGCTCTGGACGTCTTCACTGTGACCAACTTGGCGGTGGCCGGGGCCGGCAGTTCCTTGTAGCAGGGGGTGGCGAAGGTGGGGAGCAGCGCTTTGTCCTCTCTGATGTAGATGGCCGGTACCAGGCAGCTGCGCTCCCCTCCTTGCCTCGCCCTCCTCACCGCCTCGTAGAAGACCCGCTGCACAGAGAGGAAGTCCAGACAGGCCGACACCTCAAAGAACAAACAGCCATAACGAGCCGCCAGTTGCTCGCCCTCACACTGACTCACCTGCCTGAGAGAGAACACGTCATTATTATCATTGTGATATTTTATGATGTGGTCAAATAATAACATTCATTATTTTTACACTCGATACACAGTACGACTTTTCACATAAGGCAGTACACACTGTTATAGTCACACTTTGTTCTTGGGATGCTCCGATCTGATCTCAAAGATCAATATCGAGGACAATAAAGGATCGTCTATGAAAAGCCTGATCTGATGCTGTGTTTTACATCCGCTGTCACACAGGTGTTTGTACTCATGAAGCTTTCATGCGCAGCAACGTGAAGCACAGCCTTAACCAACTCTCTAACTCTTCACTGTCTGTCTTTCCTCTCACTTTTTAATAACAGGGGCTGAGCCTCTTCTGCTGCAAAACACCACACACCATAAACAACAGCAAAATGCAATATGAGACTGATCTTACTATATAATGATGAAAACTGTGTGTGTGTGTCTGTTCCATATTTTTCTCCTCACTGACTTGGTCAATCCATGTGAAATTTGGCACAGTGGTAGAGGGTCATGGGAGGATGCCAATGAAGCAATATTACATCAATTGGCCAAAGGGGGGCGCTATAGCAACCGATTGAAATGGCAAACTTTGAATGGGCATATCTCATGCCCCGTATGTCGTAGAGACATGAAACTTTGCACAGAGATGCCTCTCCTCATGAGGAACACATTTGCCTCAAGAACCCATAACTTCCGCTTATATAGATTTTCCACCATTTTGAATTTTTTGAAAAACACTTCAAATGGATCTCTTCCTAGGAAGTTTGAGCGATCTGCATGAAACTGGGTGAACATAATCTAGGGACCAATATCTAAAGTTCCCTCTTGGCAAAAGTTGGAAAACTTACTAAAACTGAGCTTCTATAAGGCAATGAATATTGCGGAGGGCGTGGCTCATCACATAAAGGTGTATAACATCTCAAGGGTTTCAGCCATCACCACGCAACTTTGTAGGCATATGACCACACATAATCTGAGGGGACCCCTCCATTATTGACCCCATCAAACAAAATGGGGGCGCTAGAGAGCTCATTTCTTATCTAGGCCTAACCGCCATATGGATTTTTACTAAACTTGGTAGATATGTAGAACAGGACGCCTCAAGGTGACTGGAGAAATTGAACTCTAATTGGCAACTGGGTGGCGCTATAACAACAGAAAAATGCTTCAAAATGGCTAAAATGCGACCGATCGCTGTGGCTCCCCCTGTGGACCAATGTTTGGGGGGTTTTTTTCTAATTTTTGCCGCACTTTTCCCATGTGAACTACCATTGCGCCCCACTTTTAAGTCAATACAACATATAAACACTTTAACTATCTGCCTTTCAACGTGCTACCTCAACTACTAATGTACAGTTTTAGCCCACTAACTATCCCACTATTGGCAATGGTACTACTGTACTTCCAATAAAGCCATCGTACTATCAAATTCACAAACACTCTGTCTGAATACATTGCTCTTCTTAATGGGTTCAGTTTACTATTTAATCTGCAATTTCCTATGACCTGTATCCCAAACACACACCATGTGAAACTGTACGTGGGCAACTGTGCACTCAATGGCTATGGACTAGTAATTTGTTACTTATGTCCTAATTTATGTGCAGTCGTTTCATTTCAGGTCAGTGTGAGAGTATCTTGTGTTTCCTTTGTTTGTCATCAAAGGTGCGTGGCAGACGATCACAATGCAACTGCATGTGCAACAAAAGCCCCGCGAGCAAACAGCCAATGAGAGCAATTTATCAATGTAATCAGCGCAAAAGATGACGATGACAATGAAAATAAACACCGAACAGAACAGAGTTCATTCAGGAAACTCAAGGCTGCACCGAAGCAACAAACACTGGAGAAAACTTTCTTAACGGAAAAGAGTTGTTTATTATATACTTAAATATTTTGTTTAAAAATATTGCAGAGCTATTCATTTGTCAAGCATATGCATCGGAATAATTTTAATAACTGTAATGTACTTTGTGCTCTGTGCAGCTGTATTATCTGAGGCACTGGTTCCCAAACTATGGTGTGTGTACCACTTGTGGCATTGGCACACAAGCTCCCTCTAGTGGTACGCAGAGGAATCTTCACTCTGAGGGCTCTTTAGTTATTGTGTTTGTCATATTATTATTTTTTTATAGAACACACACACACACACACAGACACACAGACACACACACAGATACCAGCCTGTATCTGTCCATGTCCAGCTTGTTCCCCAGCAGGATGATGGGAGTTTGTGGCCTGAAGGTTTTGTTGTGCAGGGCGAGTGTCTGCAGGTACAGCTGGCAGCCTTTGAAGCTCTCCATGTTGTCGATGCTGTAGACGACGAGGAAGGCGCTGGCCCACGACAGGTAACGCTCACTGTTCACCGGACCGTCCTTCACACACACACACGGGACACAAAAACACACACTGCACACTTACGTTCTCATCAACAAGACACTGTGTTGTGAAGTAGTGTCACGTTACACGCTGCAAATTACTTTACACTGAGGCCATAATGGGCCTAAATCTGCCATTTCATTTCTCTCTTTTTTCTTTTGACGTGGTCAGGAGCCCTTTTTCTGTTTTTCATGGACACAATAACAGAAAATGAAACAATGATGGGCTACACAGAGCATATGTGAGTAAAACCCTCAAGCCTTTCTACCACCCCACACACACAGAGTCAACATATCATACCTGGTCACAGGTGTCCATCACTCTCACTGTAACTGGCTGCTGGTCCACCCTCTCTTCTGACGAATAGATATCCTCTACACAGCAGCCAGCGACACAAAAGAAACCATTACATTATCACAGATACATTCCAGTGTGTTCTGCAGTGGTGGGAGATCTTCCACCTGAAGTCTCCCTCCACTCATGACTGTGTATTTGAGCTTCACTGTGCAGAATGATGTGTGTACAGGGTTTGTTTTTTACACTGACATTTCTCAAAATGTGTCTGGAGGACATCTTAAAGTATAGCTATGTATACCAGCATGTAAACACAGTAGCAGAAAAAGGAAACACTCAAGTAAAGGACAAGTCGGGTGAATTACAGGTGATTGGGACAGTTTGATTTTCCTCCTTCTGTAAGTTTCTTTATACAGCCTTATGAGTGGAAAAAACCCTTTTTTTCTGAGCAGTAGCTGTGAACCCACATAATCAAAATTGCATGCCCTCATTGGTGTGACATCATGTAGGAAAATGACATAAGCTTGAACTAGCTGTCATCATAAGGTCCTAACATTGTCATTGCTAACATACTGCACAAACCTTTGATGGAAACATGATTATGATGTACTACTGCTGCAAAATCAGTCAAAAGTGAGCTCATATCACGTGTCTGTTTTTGAAACTAAGCTGTTTTTATTTTGTCCCATTCACCTAAACACGCTTTGGGTGATTGACACGCTGCTAAAAGGCTTTTTGTAAAAAAGAAAGTGATCAACCTTGCAATAGAGAACCACTGTGTGTGCTCTGTATGCTCTACATCAGTGGTTCCCAGCAGTTCTCTTCATGTGTGCGCAACAATAGTCAGCCACAAAAATGTTAATGGACTGGCTGGATTTTGTACCAGCCTGAATCAAAGGATGTGGTCATGGGGCAAGGGGACAGTTGACATCATGGCAGCTTTACTTTGTGTAAACTGTGGACAGACTTTGGCCAAAAAAAAGTTTAACAGATATGTACATGGAATCTTAAATTCATAATTAGGAATGAGTAACACTTCAGTATCACAGATACATAGCATTTGTTGGGCTAATTGTTTGAATTTATGGCAAAGAAACTTCCAGAAGGAGGAAAATCAAACTGTCCCAATCACCTGTAATTCACCCGACTTGTCCTGTTTGGAAAAACGTCATTTGAACTCTGTTTTTAGCCTCATTGTAGCCTGTAGCTCTAACTGCCTCTCTGTACACCGCGCTCACGTGTGCGCTTGCGCGAGACCGTGAGACATGGGCACCGCCTTCATGTGTGTTCACGTGCTTTCGCTGGTCTCGCACAAGTTCAAATGACGTTTTTCAAAACAGCAAGCACACACACGTGAGTGCGGTGCACAGAGGCAGTCAGAGCTACAGGCTACAATGAGGCTAAAAACAGAGTTCAAATGACATTTTTCCAAACAACTTTTTATGTCGGGGCTTCAGGGCACTTGGATCACTACGGACGAGCAGTATGGAGATATTTTGTGGTTTCAATTATGTGTTTTTGGACATTTTAATCTGGGGCGCCATCAGCCTCCATTAGGTGGAGTTGTGTTACTACCTCCTCTCCCCTTGGATCTCCACAAGTGATGTGAGGACTCTAAAACTTCACCTGAGCCTCCCTCGACATGGGAGAGTAGATAATGGCTGAATTTTCATTTTTGGGTGCACTATCCCTTTAATTCAGCCACCTCAACGCAGTAAATGTACTTAGTTACTGTCCACCACCTCTTCTCTATGTATTACACTCATTAAAAATGAAAGCAGAGATCTCACCAAGATGGGGGTCATATTCACTGATGAAGCGCTTTGTGAGGAACTTGACAGTCAGTGCTGTAAAGCAAAGAGAAACAACAGAACACAGTCTGAGTGACTCTCTAACTGTGGGGTCTGCGGGGAGCGGGGTCAGTGAGGGCCCTGAGAAAACCACTGCTACATAAACGTTCACATTTGACGTCAAAATGAGACTCGTAAAGTACAAACATATCTAGATGGCGTCCAGTCCAAGAATAAAAAGCATTATGTAACCGAACATTTGCCAACAACCTCCAAAACACATCTGAGTAAAATGAACTGTTGAAGGGTAATTTGGTAGTTTCCAACCTGGACCCTAATTCCAATGTTTTTGTGTCTAAGTGACTAATGGAAATAACATTTACTTGAGCTGGTCCAGTGTTGAAACAGAGCGCTGCAGCCAGCAGCACTGAAACAGGCTGAATGTAATCCCTGCAGGCAACTGGGCACAGTCAATGTACGTCTGCTGAAAGTGCTTGTGTTTGCCACTGACAGGCTCAGATTGTTCTTACAAGTGTCTGACAACATTATGCAAATGATCCCTAGAGAGACAGAAATTTATGTTAAAGAGTAAAAGCTTTTTTTTGTTGTTTGTTAAACAAGAAACAGCCCCAAAATCACTCTGGTCAAACCCACCAGACTCCATTTAAAAAAACATTAATTTTAACATCGTACAACACACTTTATTCAAAAATGACAGAAACAAAGTAAAGCCAACAAAAGCCATCTTTGTTTATCTTTCTACTGTTTTATCAATCACCAACTCTGGTTTGGTTGAAATTAACCCTTAATTCACCCAATTTGATGTTAAAATATGCTGCTTCTATACATGCTAAAATTACAGTTTATTTAAATGGAGTCTGGTGGGTTTGGCGATGACAATTTCTGGGCTGTTTGGTTAAACAACAAAGATCTTATGCTGCGTTCGTTTTGTACTCGGAGGTCGGAAATTCCCAGTTCCCAGCTCCAACTCGGAAACTCGGAGCAACCGCATCAACCCCAACTTACGAATTCATGATGGCTGCCGGTCACATACATAGTGAGTAAACACTCTGCTAAAGTACTGTTTATAGCAATTCTATCTTATTTGTTTTACATTAGGTCAGCCATACCCATAGTACTGTTAAATTTTTATCCGTGGGCGTGTTGCTATGCTGACTGTATGTGCAAAATGCCACATAGAGCGTTGTTATCAACTGATATTGCTAACAGCGGCTACGGCTAGCCCAACGGTAGAACGGTAACGTCCATGTTTTTTTCCGACTTGTCCACCAACTAGAATGCAAAAACTGTTGTCAACTCGGAGTTGACGTCATTCCCACTTCCGACTTCCGACCTCCAAGTACAAAACAAACGCACCATTATACCTTGAGAAAAAGGTCTATCTCCGTGGGATCACTTCCATAATGTTGTCAGACACGTATAAAAACTATCTGAGCCCAGCAGTGACAAAAACAAACACTTTAAGTGGACATAAATTGACGGTGCTCAATTACCTGTAGAGTTTGCAGCCAGTTTCGCGGCTACTGGCTGCAGTGGTCTCGCCCACTACTGGACCACTGTGATAAATTGTTGTTCTAATTCGTCACTTAGACACAAAACACGGGAAAAGTTACTTTTAATGTTTTAGGAAGACATGTTATTTTAGACTGTTGTTAGCTTTAAAGGAACAGTGTGTAAGATATAGGGGGATTTAGTAGCATCTAGCCTTGATGATTGCCGATTGCAACCAGCTGAAACTTCTCCCAGTTAGAATTCCCTCAGTGTTTATTTGTCAGGTGGTTTTTAGCCGGAGCCGAATTATCCGCTGAGGTCTCTTGCTCTCCAAAACAAACAGACCAGGTTATTAAAACTGGTAAAAACATTTAATAAAGCAGTTTTACGTTTTAAAAAAAATCTGTTTTTCTGACACTCAGCCATTTCCTGTTATCCTATGGACTTTGTTTTGGGGTTTTCTGTTTGTATTCCTCCATGTTTCATGTTATTCATTCATGTTTAATGTGTTTCCTGTTTTATTTTGCAGATTCTCTCCTCATGTGTCACACCTGGTTACTTCCTGTTTTTGTGTGTTTTCCCGCCGGTTTCCTATCACACCTGTCTTCCTTCAGTCTCGTTAGTCCTCCCTGTTCCCAGAGTCTTCCCTTCACACCTGTTCTGTGTTAGTCTTGTTTGCTCCACCCTAGTGTTCCCCACCACACCCTTATTGTTAGCCAATCCCCATTTCCCTCCTTGTGCCCGTGTCCTCCTGCTCCACCTGTGTCTCGTTCTTGTGATTAGTTTTCTGTGTATATATATCTTTGTCAGATTGTCTGTGCTCATCCCTGTGTTGGTGTCGTTTCCTGCCTGGTGTCTTGTGTTCCGTTTGGATTTTTTACCTGAGTTCATTGTATTATCTCAGTTGGTTTTCAGTTACTTTTGGTTCTTCTGTCATTTGGACGTTCAGTTACCTGCCTGTTCTGGGTGTTTTTGATCAGCTTTATTAAAGCTTGTTTTTTGTTTAAGCTCAAACCTGCCTGCTGCTCTGCACTGGGGTCCTTTCTGAACTGAAACTTGACAAGAGGCCCACAGATACGCAATTAGAGCCTGGTCTCACTCCGAAGTTATCAAAATATAGTCTCGCTCACCAGACCTTTCTCAAGAAAAGAAAGGTCTGGCTGGGCCGACTCTCACTTTGAGATTGGAGAAAAAACCGCCCCGGCTGCTTGTATTTCTTTCAACCAATCACAATCGTTCTGGGCGGTGCCACAGCAACAGTGTGCTTGCAAAAATATTGCCGGGGGGAAACAGGTTTTGGTGTAACACGCCCAAAAAATATCACCTACAGGATGCGAACCATGGCAGAAAAATGGCTACATCCCTGCAAGGTCAAACACTGCAAAAGTTAGTAAAGGACGCGTTGAAAACATTTGAAAACTGCTACACAACCGGAGGTGGTAGGGTGGGACTTCAGCGGGTGGCTCGTTCCGCCCAATGAGAGGCTGATCTCTGCAGCGAACTTCCGCCCACTCAGACTATCAAAATATGATGCTTGGGCAGTGACTTGCAGCATCAGAAACCAACAAAAAAAGGCATCCTTTAACGTCTGCATAATACGGTTGCCGTTATAGTTTAATGGCGCCCGGCGGTGTCAGGGTGGAACACGGCATGAGAAGGACAAAAGTTAAGGCAGTGAAAGTCCAGGTGGGAGGGAGGGGTGGTGGATGGGTCCAACAAACGGTGACCTTCACCCAAGAGAGCGGTGTTTGTGTCCCGTAGGATTCTAAAGCCAAACCTTGTTATTTTTTCCTAAACCTGACCACGTGTTTTTGTTGTTGAAGGGAAAAAAAACATCAAGTCACGTACCAAAGTAGTGTGTATATTTTGAAAGAGACTGTATGTAAATGTTAAATTGCCCCAGTGTCAACAACCAACGCACCCAGGGTACCTTGCACGTGGAAAGTCCATGACCCAAACGTCAATATGTGACAAAGTCAGAGTGAGAATGTGTTGGCAATTACCAATTTAATGAGGTCTAACAGAAATTACTGTTGACAGGGATGAATAGGCAAAGTAATGTCATTACTAAATTACTAAAATTAATGATTAATGTATTACATTTTTAGAGTAAGGGGCCCCAACGCTGCCCACTCCCTATGTAAACATCAATGGCTCATGCTAAAGTAACAAAAACAGACAATTCTCATTTTCCCATGATGATAGACCCACACTGAAGAAAACATACTTATTATATTATATTTTATTTCAGCCAATATATCCCCCTAAATCCTACACACTGGACCTTTTAATGCTCAGAACTGAAAGACAGTCAAAAAAATAATCAAGAAGCAGCATAACGTTATACCAAACTTTTAGATTTTTAAAAATTGTTCACTAAAACAGGAACAAGAATTTTACAGTGTTTCTTTCCTGGTTTGTGTTAATGCAGCCAGCTGCTGACTTTGTGATTCATAAACACAAATATCAGATGTTATCAGGAGGGGTAAATGGTCATTTACATGTAGTGAAACTATATTAACATTTGTTGCCATGAAATATGTGAATATAAATATGGCAGTTAAAGTGGGACCTGATTTCCCGGAGCCCATCACACCGAGCAGCACCAGGTTACACTCAGCTGGGCTTCTGTCAGGAGCTGCGGCCGCATTACACGTCTTCACTTTCCCAAACATCAACGACATGATGATGATGCTCCGTCAAAATGCTTCACATTCTTATTCCCAACAGATTCTGGTCTCCTCTGAAGCAGCTGGATAAAATAAAAACACATTTCCAAACAGACAGGCTGTGAAAAATAAGACTTGTTGTTTCTTTCTCTTGAAAAGAAGCGTCAGAAATGAAAGGAAAGTATTTTACAGGTCCAAGTGAACTGTTAGGGTTCATATCCAGACACTGTCCTGGGATCAGTGTGAGCCTTCTGCTCCCGTGAGAGAAAAAAACAGTCTCGTGCGCAACTGATGCACTGACCTCTCCATTTTAGGAAAAAGACTTCAAACCCAGCTTGTAAAACCTGAAGTGTACCGTTAGTGAAGCAGCAGCCAGCTCACTGAGCTGGAACTAAGCCTGTAGTCAGACATTCAGAGAGATGAAGATTTGTTTTATTCCACTGGTGAAATGCCTCAGGAGCTCCTTCTGTTTGTGTACACATATATCTGTGATTATGTTTCCCTCCATGCAGGGGCAGTTCAAGCTTTTCTGGGACCTGGGAAACATTCCTGCCCCCACCCACCCACCCATACACACACTGTCCCATTTAAAGATATAACATGTACTTTTCCTAAAGACAACTAAACCAATCTTGTAAATTCTGTTGAGTGTGCACTTATATATTCCCACACAGTTCCAACAGTGTTTAAACACACTGGGTCTCATTCATGAAACGTGAGCAGAAGGAATTTGTGTGTAAACTGTTCGCAGACAGAAATTTACGTGCATGTCCGCATTCATCAATATTTTAGTAGCTCCAATCTTTTCGTAGCTACTAACAAAATCTACTCCTGCTCCTGACCACTCGTAGTGCTTGTGTAAATTTAGTACAGCACATAAATATTGATTGTCACTATTGGAAATTACAATTTTAACTCGTATTGCGCTCTGTTATGTACACAATACACAGATGCCTTTGAAACACGTAATCTAAACATGAGAAAATATTAAAAATATAACACATTTAGTTAAATTAGTTGACAATTAGCAGGTTTAAGATCCAGATTAGATTCATGATTGTGAATTATCTATGTAAATCGACTCAATAGATTACACGTTCTTTCTACATGTTGAATGATGATAATAAAAATATCCATAAGGACAGCCGGATCACAGCCTCTTCGGCCTCTGTGCCTGGGTTCAGCAGGGGCAGCAGGTGGTGGAGCCACGAAGGAGCACGCGCCAGCTGAAAGAATTATTTGAGACAACACGTGTTTTGTTTTTTTTTGGCTTTTTGATCATTTGAATGAATAAATCTGATTTGAAAATGTTTAATTTACGTTGTATAAAACAGAGCTTTAGACTATTAAGATTCAAATAATTTGAAGACGATGCATACAAAACTGCTGTAGGCTATATGTTATCCATATCATTTGTTAAAATAAATGTTAAATAGCTCTACATTCCGACAGCCATCACTGATTTAGAGTTTATTCATTACGCACAAAACATCTCTGGTTTCCCGTTCCCACTTCATTCAAAGCCCCACAAATAAATCTTCTGTTTGTTTGGTGACCACTACGCTATCAGTGATGATTTTCAGATTGTATTAGGCTATAACACTTTACAGTCTGGCTTTGATGTTGACTCCAGTGGAGGCATGTCGCTGGCTCCTTCAGGAATAATTCCTGACAGAGAGGTCTCCCCAATTATTCCAGCGATGCGCTCGTCAGCAGATAGTTGTGACTGTGAGCCTCCTCCTCCTGTGGCTGCTGTATTTTTTTGTGTGTGTGCTTATGCGTTTCTTTGCCTCCAGTTTCATATCAAACCATTTACGCTTCACCTCTGACATGGTTCTTTGTGCCACGGAGACAACATTAACAGCATCTGTTACCTCCCTCCAGGCCTTCGCTTTGCCTGTCACACCACTACTAACTGAAGAAAATAAAATGTTTTTTCTTAAGTCCACTTCACCCAAAATTATTTCGATCTCCACTTTGGAAAAAATCTTTTTTCTTTCTTTCTCTTTCTTTGTTTGCGCCATGACTGACAGGTCGACAGGATGCACCTACACCTCCTTATATGGTGGTCATTGGCTATTCATGGGCGATTTATGCTAATTGATGATTACCGGGGCGCGCTGTCACTTTACGATGGATTGGCATTCATGACCATACACACGTGTTTACGATCAAATCTGAGTTTCCCGCGGCGTTCCTGAATCCGGAGTAGGTTTTTAGCAGAGTAGGCTTTTATGTGCAAATCTACACACAGATTTACTCACTTTTCATGAATGAGACCCACTGACATTAGTGACGAATACATTATGTAAGGCAGCTGCCTGTTTGAGCCAGTAGGAGGCGATGTTGTGTCTGTTTCACAACAAATGCAGCAGTTGACACAGTTTGTTCCTGGCAGGACACCGTAGCTTTGAGATTTGCTCTGTTTATGACGCCAAGTTTATTTTCTCTTGCCCAGCAAGGTGAGCGTTGTAACGGCGTCCTGCATTATATCACAATATCAGCGCTAAAACCACACATCCTGTTATTTTGTTCATTGTGTGTTCATCAATTTATTAACACATCAGGCGACAGTACGCCACGAGGTTTGACTTTAAATTAACTGTGTTTTTTTTGTACTGTTGGACGATGTTATTGAGGTGAGGTTATGAGTGTGGCTAGCCTGCTGTAAACGAGAAGACAATTGATACTGTGTAAACTGGGCAAGATGGAGCACTAGCTTTTCTGTTAACCGTTAAGTTTATTTGCGAATGTGTGTTTTATGTTGGTAATTTATTCCTCTCAGAGTCATATTTCACTTAACTTCACAGTTATGTTTATCTTCATTTGATGGGTTAAGGTTAGGGTTAGGGGGTTACCCCGCAAGGTTGACGATTTGTTGAGGAGCAGCAACAGTTACTGACTGTTACTGTGAATTAAAACACAGTCACCAGCCCCTTTTACACTGCCAGATTTTCAGCTAATGTTGGGCCATTTTGCCGGCAAGCTGCGAGCGTTTAGACACACAGAGCAAGACTGGCGAGTTGATCCAAGGTGCCCAATTTTCCGCCTCGTAGTGTAGACATATTGGTGGAACCTTTTTGGTTTAAACATACCAAGGCGGCCTTCTGCCACGAGAGGGGCTGTTGATGACTTGTGGGAGGAGCTGTTGATGACGCCACACGTGCGAGCCACTGGCGGTGGATAAACAGGAAACAGCTGATAGCAGGAATTAGCGAGCAGCTAGTAGCAAGAGGGAAACACAAACCTGACAGACACTGTAAAGATGAGCAACTGGGGAGACATGGAATTGCGCGCCCTCCTTGTCCTCGCAAACAAAGAGGCCATTAACCGTCAGATGACGGTGACAGTGATGGACGGGCCAACTTATGAGAGAATCGCCGAAGGACTGACCAGCCGCGGCTTCCCTCCCACGTCACTGTTTACGTCACACGCTGAGCTACACGTTTTGTTACTTGCTCACGCCCCCCATTGCCCCGAAAAAGGCACATTCTGTATAAACAAAAGTAGGTAGGCGGCATTTTGCTGCACTCACCGATTTTGTTTTTATACTGCCAATGCTGACAAAAGACTGATTGGGCTTTCCTGCAAATTTGCACAGTTCCTATTTAAAAAGGCCCAAGGTCTCAACCACAATCCTGAATGCTGCGTCTGGTGCCTCCTTTACTCCACATGACAATTCACCACGACTACAAAGACAAAAATCGCTATGCAGAGTCCAGGGGAGGTGCTGAAGCAGTCTGGCGCTGGGCGTGCAGAGGCAGCAGGTTACACTTACAAATAGTGTAAATGACATGGCTGTAATTACTTCCTGTAATATGATGCCGAGCAGTGTTGGGCAGTGGCGTGGCTACAAGTAGCAATGTTACTAACTTTACATTTCTCATTAGCTTTTCAGTAGCAAAGCTGATTAATTGACAGAGTAGCGCGTTAGCATCTACAAAAGTTACAGCTCTTTTTCTGAGGAGTAGCTCTGAAGTGCAGCGGACTGTTCATCTGCAGAGGTCTGGATCACAGTAAGGATAATAAAACTGAGGATAAGTCATGTGACGAGGAACGCTTTCCTGTATGACATCACATACTAATCCTGCAGTTTAATCTGCTTGCTGCTGCAGTATTGGCTTTTCTTGGCAAGACCCGCCTTACTCTGACCCTTGGATACACTTCTTGATGCATCTCTCACGTGTCTCGTCCATAGAGTGTATATATTTAGGGGATCTGCAGTGGACACCTGAGAAACAGACACAGCGAGGGGCGAGAGACGGCGAGAGACAGAGGACAATATGAAGAAGGAGGAGAGCAGACAGAGACATAGTGATGACACGTGTTATCTGCAGGACATGTTCATGTTCTAATGTCCCCATAAAGACATGTTTTCATTTATTTTTATAGTTTATATTACTGTCTTTTGTTTATTATGAATTTATTGACTAAAAAAATATATTTTGGAATTCTGTTTTTGAATTAGTGACAGAGCCAGAGAGTCAACTGAAAGAGGCAGAGACAGAGAAATGCATTAAGGAGGAAGAGGAGAGAGGAAGACAGAGAGAGGGCAATAGGCCGACTGATGATGTCATGTCATTGGAGGATATGTTCAAAGAGGAATGTCACAGCCGTGGCCGTGTCACTAGTTTCCCAGTGTTTTCCCTTGTCCTCTGTTTCCCCCTCTGTCTGTCTCTCTGTGTGTCCGTGCTGTGGGCGTGGCCACTCCCTCACTCTCCTCAGTTCCTGATTACATCTTCGGCTCGTCTTTGGCTCACCTGCTCCCTGCTGCTGTTGAATTTTGAATTCAGCTTAGACTTTTGCTCATGTATTTTTCGTGAATACTTGCTACGTTTTCGTCTGTCATAGAACATTATCCTGGCAACAAAACCCCATCTTTTACCAATCTTTTTGTTTAGCGTTTGGGTTCACCTTCTTGACTGCAACAAAGAAAATTTTATTTAAGTCTGTTGTTTTACAATAAACAGTTAAACTGAACTTCCCTTGCCTCTTTGTTTGGCTGAGAGTTTTTCTTATCAAAAAAAAAAAAAATTAGAAAAATAAATAAAAGTAGCTTTGCAAGTAGCAGCTACTTTATTTTGAAAGAGACTGTATGTAAACTGTACATTTCCTGTAAAATCTGAAGTGTATTTTAAAAACAGACATTTCATAATAACAGCCTTGTGCCAGAAATTCACTGTACTTAAAAAAATAAAGTGTATTTTTTACAAACTTGACACGTTTGCGAGTCACTTGCGGTCCATTCAGAGTGGACTCGCGACCCACTTGTGGACCACAACCCCTCCGTTGGGATCCACTGGTGTGGGAGATACTGTTCTTTTTTTGTTTGTTTGTTTGTTTGTTTTTGTTGTTTTGTTTTTTAAACTGCTTTACAGAGGCAGAGTACATACAGTGTATTTATTTCATTTTATTTTATTTAATTTTTTCATTGTTTTATTTTTTTGTTTTGTTTTATTTTATTTCATTTTATTCTATTTCATTTCATTTTGTTTTATTTTATTTTTTATTTTTATTTTTTTGTTTTATTTTATTTCATTTTATTGTATTTTACTTTATTTGGGAGTTGTGCTTTGTGTGTGAATTTGTAACTTTATTTTTAAAGGTGGTGTATGAATAAATTGATTATAATGATTATTATTAATTATCATCATTATTATTATTATGATCATTATTTGATAATAATATCATTGTAACAACAATAACACAAGAGACTAATGCCATTGTAATTCACTTGTGATTTTTGTTTAATTTGTATTTGTATTAATTAATTTATTTATTTAGCTATGCGACACTGACTTGAATATTTTTCACTTTTATTTATTTGTTTCTTTGTTTCTTCCTCTGTGTGGTGATGCAAGGCCCCCTGGTGGCCACGGATAAAGCATAAAGCTACAGTGGGAGTTCATTTCACTAAGACCTCTAGTTATGAAGTCAATGAATGAATGACAGCAGAGTGGATGGAAGTGGCAGGTGTACAGTAGAGTCATTAACCCCTGCACTATCAGATGACGGCACATTTTAAAAGACGAATACAGTGATTGTGATGACATTGTGTCGACACTACAGGGGCAGACCTTAAAGTTACTTTTGGGCTCTGGGCAGTAGAGGAAAGGACGGATAAATATTTGACTGCAGCAGCGCCACAGTGGAAAAGGACTCAGTTACAAGTGAGAGTTCTGCACTCAACTTTTCAATAAGTGCTGAAATAGTGGCGCGCTCACAATGTGACCCAGGGGAACCACCTATTGTTCCAGTTCTTGCTGCTCAAGGGTAAATCTTCAGCTGTTCCACAACTGTCAGCCACAAACAAAGAGCAGTATGTATCATCCACACATTCACAACCACCCAGCCATTATCCGGCTCCTCTTTCTCCTCTGGCTGCAGGTCATCATAATGTACTTGAACTGTGTCACACTTCTGTCTGCTATGTATAGAGTCTGTTCTCAGAGCTGTGAAAAAACTCTGTCTGTCAGCATCTGCCCTGGATGGGACGTCTCACTGGCAGTGTGTGGTTAAACACAGCCATGTGCAGTGTTGTGATCAGGCTTTCTTGTTGTGAGTGCGCAGTTCATTTGGGATGTAATGAAGATCCACAGCGGGGAAGTGATGGAGTCCAGCAGCTGTCCACGCTTCAGCCAGCAGCCGGGACACTGTGAGCCAGCGGACAGCCTGAGGGTCAACATCGACGGCAGCTCTTTCATTGTAGATAAAAGCGTTCTGGCTGAGAACTGTGAGTACTTCAGAGCATTGTTCCAGTCAGGAATGAGAGAGTGCCAACAAGAAGACATTCACCTGCAGTGTGTGGGCATTCTGGGGTTTCTGGTCATGCTGCGGGTCCTTGGCGGGGAGCGACCCATGCTGAGCAGCGACCAGATCGTGGAAGCCATCCAGTGTGCAGCTTTTCTGCAGGTGCCAGCCCTCACCAAGCACCTTATCCATATCATCAACTCTGAAAACTGCCTGCTCATGTACCACACAGCTGCCACTTACGGAGTGTGGGAGCTCTCCCACAGTTCAGCCTTATTCATCAGAGACATGTACGCTGACCTGAAGGACGATGTTCACGCCCTACCCATCAAGCTGGTAGAGTACATAGAGTCTCTTCTCCCGAGTAGCTACATGGCGGTGTGCAGCCACTCGCCGTCCACTGAGCTGCTGCAGGACCTCCAGAGGACTGTCTGCTACCTGGACGAAGACAGCAGAGAGTGGAAGGTCCTGACACATCTACCTGTGAGCGCCAGCACCACGATGGCAGGCGTGGCCATCCTGGAGAACAATCTTTACATCATCGGAGGAGTGCATGATGTTAGCAAGAAGGTAGCGGAGACTGGTTTCTGTTACAACCCTGCAGCCAACACATGGTCCACCATCTGTGGCTCCCAGCAGCCACGCTACAACTTCACTCTGATAGGTCATGAGGGCTGCCTCTACGCCCTGGGAGGTGAGTACAGCATGAAGGCGCTGTCGTCTGTGGAGAGATACAAGGTGTCGAGTGGAAGCTGGGGGTTTGTCTCCCCCCTCCCTTGCCCTGCAGCCTCGGTGGTGTCCGCTGTAGCCATGAACAGGATCTTTATCTGTCTCTGGAAAGGTAAAGGAGCCACGGATATACACGAGTACGTGCCTCAACGGGACCAATGGCTTCTGGTCACCACGCTCATCCGTGAGCACAGTTATGGTCTCTACATGGTGGCCCATAAGGATAACCTGTATGTGATGCGCAATGGACCCTGTGACGACTTCTTACTGTGTGTGATGGACTGCTACAACCTGAGCTCAGGCCAGTGGACGGCCATGTCCGGTCAGTACGGGAACAGTAAAGGCTCTCTGTTCACTGCTGTGGTCAGAGGAGACTCTGTGTTCACACTGAGCCGGCATGTGACCACAGAGTACACTGTAGAGGATTATAAATGGAGAGTGAAGCGTGAGATGAAAGGTTTCGGCAGGATTGGGTCTATATATACATTTCTGATGAGGCTGCCTAAAGACACTGTCTCCCTCATGAGAAACTCTCAGGATCTAACACGGGACCAAAACCTCAGAGACTGTCCCAGATTCTCCCCACAGTGCTCTGATAACCTGTGAGAGCTGCTGACAAATCACCAGATGGGCTGCTGAGAGAGCTCGTCCTGGTTTGTAACTACACATACCTTATTTTCATGATGCTGGATCAGGATCAAAGGTGAAGAATAAAATGATTGCCTGAACTGGTGTCAGTTTTGGTTGATTTTGCTCAGTAAGTAATCGGTTCATTTTTTAGAAAAGAAAAAACCACAAAATGACATGAAATATATGAGGCTTCTCTTTCAAGTGCGGTGCTCCACTGACTCATTGAGCTTTAGCATTTCAAAGTGCTGTTCATTTAGAGGTGGTAAAATTTTAATCACTCCTGATGTAAATGCTTTGTCTTTTATTTTATTCTCTCTTGGCTTTACTTACAGCTGGCTAGCCATGTTAACATGCAGAAACACAGTGCCTACCGCCCACCCTCTGGTCTCCACTCGTTAATGAACGTTAGCCATGGCCACTCCGCACTGTGCACCACCATAGATTGTCTATAAAGATGGAGGACACGCCTCCATTTTATGCAACAGTACAAAAATGAAGGCAAAATAACCCAGATACAGACACTTTCATCTTGGGCCCCAGTCACACAGAAAGCATTTCTTTTTTCTTTTTATTGAATGCCACTAGTACAAAAACACTTGCTGCGCCTTTTTATTGTTGCCAGGCAACCACCAATCACCTCCTCACCCTAACCTTTCTGTTTAATCAATCTACCGTTCATTTATTTCACATTAATCAGTATGTAGTTCCTAAAATGTGGGGTACTGTCTGTAGAGGCTGTCAGCAGATAAACAGAGATCTGTGTGGGTACATGAGACCCTAAAGATCGTGGGTCATGGGGAGTACCACCAGTTGGTCCAGGAGATTCGCCTCCATGATGGTCGTTTCAAGTCCCGCACTTATCTGCTTCCACGCCTGCTGTTTTCTATTGAGATCGTGGCAACTGCGGTTTGTAAAGTCATATAGCTCCAGCAAGCGCTACCACCACTTTCTCCTCCATTGTTCACCAACTGTAAACTTGTTGTCGTGACCACCATGACACCATCTTTGCAGCTGTAATTTAGTAACTGACAGAAACAACAGACAAAACTACAAAAATAATGGAATCATGCTTCAATGACCAGCGGGGTCATTTTGGAGAAGTTAAAGTGAATAAATGAGAATACGTTGTGCTGCTGTTTATCAAAGCTCTCTGTTTGTGGGAACAAGTCCCTGACGGACCCCACTCCTGTTTTCAGAGAAAACAAGTCTTGCATGAGGAGAGTTTGTTTCCCAGATGGCTTCATCGGAGGAAATGAGGTTAAATAAGGCCAGAACACAGAGGGAAAAAAGAGTAGAGTAAAAATAGAAACCTGCAGTTAGCGATCATGCTGACACATGAAAGTTAAAGAAAAAAACCTGCCTCTGTGGAAGTTCATGATACTTCTTTAATAAGTCTGTCACAGTTACAACTACTCAGATCACTTGAGACTGTCACAAAGATAACACAAGTTTAGTTACTCTCAGAGACGTCATGAATACAATATAACAACATTTTAAAGGTATACTATGCAGAATTTGTCCTACAAAAAAGCAAAGCACATACTCATACAAACTTAATTCCTCTCAATCATTACTTATGACACACTAGAAGCATGAGGCGATGTATTTATCTTCATTACCAGCTGCGATAGCATCATGATGGCTAATGTTGTTTTCACTAGTGACGGCCAGATAAAGCTTCATGAAGCAGTGAAGCTTTCAAGCACACTGGTTGGCAAACGTAAGCAAGTAAAATTTATTTATATCGCGCTTTTCGCAGACATAGGTCACAAAGTGCTTCACGAGGGTGTTATACAACAAGGAAGAAAACAGAAAGACAAAGTGACCACGTGAGCCACGGAGTTAAAAGTGCACAACTAGCAAAACTATATGCACAAAAAAGGGTTTATTTTGTCTTAAAGTCCTGGATCACTGCATCACGTCTGGAGTGATCCCATCTCAAGTCTGACGCAGTGACAAAAAAAGCAAATATGGCGAGGCAAAACAGCAAAGCTTGTTCCAAAACAAGAGTGAATCTGGGGGTTGACGTTACTTCCTCTGGCGAGCACTGAAGCAGAGGATGGAGATGAAGAGCGATGTGGCCTGTTTGCCGGCAGTCAGATAAGTTAGCTTGCTGAAGTATTGTTTTTTTGAACAACAAATGTAACGTTCCTACAACAGTTTGTAGTGTGCATATAAGTTGTAACAGTAACTGACAATTCCTGCATAGTATACCTTTAATTAACAGGAATAAAAATGTGCAATATGGGCACATCATCATCATCATTCGTATAAAGTAATGTATCAACAATATACTTTTCCTTGGTGAAGGCCACGTCCATCTTCAGCTACAATAATCTTTGTTGACTTGTTCTCTCCGCGTCGTATCAACATGGGTTTCATATTTTGCAGTATTTTAAGTTGCAGCTGAGTTATGTAAAGTGTGTGTGTGTTGATCTGCCGTCACGCCACACGCATCATCAGCTCCTCCAGTGCCCGTTCTCGGTGGTTTTCATGGACCAGCAGCACTTCTTTGATGGCGTTCTGCTGGAAGCCCATCTCATTGAACTGGTTCAGCAGATGAAGGAACTCCTCCGCCTCGAGAGGAAGACATCATCATTCTTTTATACAATTTACTCAATAAAACTGACTATTAAAGGAAAAGTGTGAAGACTCATGTGGTGTTGTAGCTCTCTGTGTGTCTTACCTTTGTCTCACAGTTTTGAAACATCTCCAGAGCCTCTTCGACTAGGACCGTGTCATAACCCAGCTGACACAGATGGTCACACGCCACCAGGTAACTCAAGATCTGCAAACACACACACGGGAATATTCATTCATCTGGCCACTGTCATCTGGTCAAAGCTCGTTATCTGTTTATAATAATCTCATTATAACAGTCTAAACCTGTGAACCTGTGGATGTTTTTCCACAGGTAGTATCTTTACCCGTTGTCTGTATCAATAAACCACGATGAGTCCTCGGACATACCGCTGCATGGAAAATGTCAGTGAAGGCACCGGGGACAGCACAGCAGCAGAGGCTCAATCAAACACGCCTTGACATCAGCACAGTGAAACACAATCTGTGTGAGAGCAAAGTGACCCGACTGACCAGCATGAGGCTCAGTAATACGCTCATTAAGTCATTAGCTCTTTCCCCGCTGATGAACTCTTCTTACACTGATTTACCAGCTGCCACATCTGCTCCTGTTGACTGACAGACTGAGGGAATGAGGGTTAACAGGAGCTGATCTGAAATCAGACTGCAAACCTTGTTAAACCATTAAACATACCAGTGAGTCACAGTAAAATCAAACCACGCTGTGTTAAGATTTCTTTTCACGTAACTTCAGTCTTAGCAAATACAGCATATTAGCTTCTTTTGTAATAAAGCTGCTTAAGTGGAATTTAAAGGTCCCATCTTACTATATAATGATGAAAACTCTGTGTGTGTGTCTGTTCCACGTTTTTCTCCTCACTGACTTGGTCAATCCATGTGAAATTTGGCACAGTGGTAGAGGGTCATGGGAGGATGCCAATGAAGCAATATTACATCAATTGGCCAAAGAGGGCGCTATAGCAACCGATTGAAATGGCAAACTTTGAATGGGCATATCTCATGCCCCGTATGTCGTAGAGACATGAAACTTTGCACAGAGATGCCTCTCCTCATGAGGAACACATTTGCCTCAAGAACCCATAACTTCCGCTTATATAGATTTTCCACCATTTTGAATTTTTTGAAAAACACTTCAAATGGATCTCTTCCTAGGAAGTTTGAGCGGTCTGCATGAAACTGGGTGAACATAATCTAGGGACCAATATCTAAAGTTCCCTCTTGGCAAAAGTTGGAAAACTTACTAAAACTGAGCTTCTATAAGGCAATGAATATTGCGGAGGGCGTGGCTCATCACATAAAGGTCTATAACATCTCAAGGGTTTCACCCATCACCACGCAACTTTGTAGGCATATGACCACACATAATCTGAGGGGACCCCTCCATTATTGACCCCATCAAACAAAATGGGGGCGCTAGAGAGCTCATTTCTTATCTAGGCCTAACCGCCATATGGATTTTTACTAAACTTGGTAGATATGTAGAACAGGACGCCTCAAGGTGACTGGAGAAATTTAACTCTAATTGGCAACTGGGTGGTGCTATAACAACGGAAAAATGCTTCAAAATGGCTAAAATGCAACCGATTGCTGTGGCTCCCCCTGTGGACCAATGTTGGTGTTTTCTAATGTTTGGTATGACTAAGTCATGGTATGGTATGCTGTACATAATCACGGAAACTGTCAGTGTGTCATTCTGTCAGTCAGTCATTCTGTCTGTCCCACGTTTTTCTACTCACTGACGTGGTCAGTCTATGTTTCCCATGTGAACTACCAGTGCGCCCACTTTTAAGTCAATACAACATATAAACACTTTAACTATCTGCCTTTCAACGTGCTACCTCAACTACTAATGTACAGTTTTAGCCCACTAACTATCCCACTATTGGCAATGGTACTACTGTACTTCCAATAAAGCCATCGTACTATCAAATTCACAAACACTCTGTCTGAATACATTGCTCTTCTTAATGGGTTCAGTTGACTATTTAATCTGCAATTTCCTATGACCTGTATCCCAAACACACACCATGTGAAACTGTTCGTGGGCAACTGTGAACTCAATGGCTATGGACTAGTATATATAATATATGCTCATATTCAGGTTCATACTTGTGTTTTGGGTTACTTGAACATGTTTACGTACTGTCTGCCTGAATATACCTGTAAACAGAGTTCTCAGAGTTCAGAATAATACAAAGGAAAAACATTTGCACTATATGTGTAATACTGTTACATCCAAATCACTATTATCATACCGCAGTTCCTTTTGTTTTGAAAGTCAGTGACACAAGTGGAACCTTTGACCCTGTCGTCACATTGGTCACCGACGTGGAGGATTCCAGCCATGACAGTTTGCAGCCCGAGGATGAGGTGGCAGCCTACATGGAGTTCAAGACACCCAAGGAGGATCCTTAGGAGGTTTTATGGGGGTGGAAGGAGCATGCTAAAATGTTTCCTAACCTGGCAGTGATTGAATATTGTTGCCATCCCGCCATCGAGCGTAGCCAGTGAAAGACTTTTCCAAGAATGGAGAACCCAGCTTAATGTGAGTGACTGTAGCCTGTGTGTGTTTAATCACAGGAGCGGGTCGGGTCTCGTGACTTTTAAATAACTACCACAACTTTGACTTAGACATAATGACGGGCAGCGGGTCTGCTTCAGGACTGAGCTTTGCGGGTACGGGTGGGTGCTGGTTTTCAAAAATGGACCCTTACATGACTCTGCCTGTGATCACTGCTAGGCAGTGAGTTGGGTCAGTGTTTACTTCCTGTCAGCTGATGTCATTCACATACACTGCAAAACATTCCAGAGAGAAATACAAAAGCACCCAGTTAGGATGTTTATGTTTCATACAGTCTACATAGCATAGCTGTGACATCACAAATTCACAGAAATCCTGGCTGCTCATTTAAAGGCACAGTATCTGAATATGAACTGAGGGCATTTCTCTGTGGACTGAGCGTCTTAATACATTCACAGTATTTAAATTGCACCTACACCTGCTTTATTTTTTAACAGACGTGAAAATTTCACTTTTCACAACATGGGACCTTTAATTCAAAGGGTTAAAATGTACCAGAATTATAACAAGCAAATATTACAACACAGTCCCACAGAACTCTGTGAAACAGAAATAACCTATTAACGACATTATGTGGCAGTGAGCACAAATGTGTTAAAATTACAAGCTGGCAGCATGAAAACAATGCCAACGCAAAGTCTTTTTTGAATGTTGCAGTTTTAGTGCGCTTGGTTCGGTTAGGGGAACAAAAGAAATTACTACATATGGGACAAAAGTGTCATAAAATTATGTACTTTGCATGGTATGTAAAGTACCTACATAAAGTATTTTGCATAGTTATGTTAAGTCTGTAAAATCACACAAGTATGTTTTGGTTTCACTCGGGGCACAAACAGCAGTCTCCTGGTTGAAAGTCCATGTTTGTTTGACTCATCCTGTGCGAACTTCCTCACTCATTAATTTAATCCATGTGTCCCCAACAAAAGATCCACTTGTTGCCAGCACGTAATTTTGATGCCCACCACCACGTAATGTGTTGTTAAGACTTTGTGTCCACTTCATGTATTTCTATGAGACTACGCTGAATATTAGTAAGTCACCCAGTGTGTCCGTCCATGTCCCTCTCTCCTGTCCATGCCCCCCTGTCCTGACTTTCCCATCAGCCCTGTGCTGTAGCTCGTGATTTACTCTGAGGGGAGGTTATGGGAAAACACACAGAGCAGGCGGTGGAAACTCTGGGGTCTATTTTTACAGAGGCTTAAAGTGGCTTAGTATAGTGTGTTTTGGTTTCATTGCCACCTCCAGTTGGTTAGTTGGTGCATCTTTTCTGCTGTTAAGCTGTAGAGAACATATGTAGAAGGCCCTGTATATAACCTTGTGCACCTGTTGTTGTTTTTTAAATAACCAAAATGAAGAAATGAAAACCACATTTCTTTTTTCTTTGCAGTGACAGTTCACAATAACATAATTCCTGCTGCGGTCACACGTGTTGCTGTGAGTTTTTACAGTCTGGTTATTTCCCACCACCACAGAAAAAGAGACGAGCTCCACCCTCTCCGTACTATAATGCAGGCTGAATACGACACTGTATGATGTTCTCCACTCTGAGGCTTAAAGCTTAGCTGTAGTGTTTCTATCAATATGTCCACAAATGCACAATAGCTGCAGTGTTTTTACAGTTTTACACAATAGGTGCACAGTATTCAAATTCCAGTTTAAAGGTATACTCTGCAGAATTGGCGATTACTGTTCGGAAACACACTCGCCAGTTAAAGTGAAAGTAAAAGCCAGCCTCAGATTCACTCTCATTTGGCATTTCACCTCACTGTATTGGTGTTTTTTTCCGCGCTGTGTCTCTGTCCCTGCTGCTTACAGTCTGGCCCCTGCTCAGTTCCTTTTCATAAAGCCCCGAGCATTGTGGAGGTACACACTCATAACTGTCCCAAACACAGAGGATAAGAAGAAAATAAGAAAATACAGTCTCTGCAGAAAAATACACCACCACACACCATTTCAGTTTGTTTGTTCTTCATGACCTCTCACTGAGTTATTGGGAGCTTTATTGGAGTTAAAGTCACTGAGAGGGTGCTGTGACTGCTAAACTTATTGCTGATGTTAGCCGGTCAGCTAGCTGGCTATTAAAGTGAAGAAAAGCGCTGTCAAGTTTATTAGGGTATCGAGCTCTGTGAAGCTTTACTGCTCCCTCTCACAAGACAGTGCACATCAGTCACTTTAATAATTTTAGCAGGTCTTCAAAGCACCGAGTGTAAAAGAGAGCTACAGCGACCTAAAGTTAGCTTAGCCCTGAAAATTAGGCTAATATTGGTGCTACACTAGGGTTGCCAACTCTCACACAGCTGGCGTGACTGTCACTCTTTCACCATCGATGTCACTCTCTCTTTTTTTTTTTTTATGTCCAGCTCATTGTGTGGCTTGACCAGACCGCATACTATTCTCAGAAAGCAAGTTTAGGTCTCGTGGGGCTACCCTGAACTTCATGCTACTTCGTCCTTCCCCATGTCTCCTACACTGGTTGCCTATTGGCGTACAAAGAAAATAACGTGGAAGTTGCCTGTCGCTGATACATTGCTGGTGGGAACTGCACCAAGGTAAGCAAATTCCCGACGAATTTACATTTAACTGTGTAATGAAACCTTTGTGAATTTGAACATAATATGCATTAATGTACACAGGTCATTGAAAATCCTTGAATTGATCTATTTCTGTATAAAATTGCATGAAAATAGGATTTTGCCGCGTGAATTTTCCCTGAACACCCCTTGAAATCTTTCTTTTTGTCACATATTACTGGGTTTTTTAAGCAGATGATCAATACTGCCATCAGATTGATGAAATTGACCTTGATCTTCGCCGTAAAACAAATATTGAGCATCTATGGACATATGTGGGGCTTAGGCCTTTTGATATGAATATGTAAACGTACACTCATTTCTTCTGTTTGCCACATGTGCATATTAACTCTTTTACGGTAAAAAAAAAAATGTGCCGCCATGTCCACGTATGTTCATGACCACGCACGCACAAGCAGATATTACGTCACGAAATAAAATCTCACTCCAGGCCTCTGACCAAAGTTGGCAACCCTGGCTACACTGAGTGACTAACAGTGGAAATAATTATCAAAGACACTGAGGTGATCATCAAACTAATCAACAACACTTTATACAAAAATGAACAGTAGATACTAGAAACAATACAGTGCTCCAGGGTTGAGGTTTTTCTGTAGGCCGACACAGAGGTTAGCATCAAGTTCAGCAAGATTATCTTCACAAATGAACATCACTTGTATGATTTTTTAAGCCTAAATGTAATAACCAGAAGTAAAAAGGTAACATTAGGTCATAAACTACACTGTCTGACTCAAATCACCACCACAGCATGGCTACAGAGCTGTGTTCAGGTGTGATGACGTTCTGTAGTTTCATAGTCTTCTTTAAAACACATAAAAGCTCCACAATTCACTAGTGGGATATTACCTGACATATGTTATGTCTTAGAACAAAATGTGAACGTCTCTTAAAGCTGCAGTAGGTAGAAAGCCTGAAAACGGTTGATTTTTGAGTCTCATCTGAGTTAGGTTTCGTTCGTCTCCGCCCTGAGCCCCTCCTACCAGATGAGCACATGAGTATTTTATCCTACTTGGTTCTATTTCTCCCTCTCTGGGAGCCTCGGCTCTCCCTCACCGCGCAGCACATACCCCCGAGGCTTGGCTCTCCCTCTCCGCGACCCTCGCACCCTCCGGCCAGGCCCAGCCCCAACTCACCCTTCCGCTCCCTCCGGGGCTCCGGGAAACCGAGTTCTGTCTTCCTTTTTTTTGGTTTAGCCGTGTAGGCAGTTGTAGCCAATGCTGGAGTAGCTATTTTACCTGGTGCACTGTTCGCCATTGCCTCTTGCTCTCCCCTTCTGCCGGCGGCACGGGAATGCGCATATGCAGTAGAACAGCCAATAGGAATGCAGTGGTCTGAGCTGACCTTTGATTGGTTGATGCACATCGGCACAATACTGATTCTTTAGAGGCTGAACACAGAGCCATGGTGAGGTGCAGAAACCTATTGTTTGTCTCAGACCACTTGATTTACATTATGCTTAGAAGATATTATAACATTTTTACTCAATTATACCAAAACAATGTTGCCTACTGGAGCTTTAAGCTTGTGTTAACTGCACACCTAACCCAAAAAGAAACATTGACTTTGAGATGAGGGATCTGGACGTGATAAAATGCGGACTCATTTCTGGGTTTTAGGAATGATTCCTTGGGCATTTTATAAGTGTAACACTAACTATGAAAAGTGAAGTAACAAACTTAAGGGTGAAAAACCGACACTGAGGTCGGAGGGGAAGGTGAAGTCAGGAAGTAAACAGCCGCACTCCAAGATCAGAGTCACCAACACACCAACATCTGCTGTCAGACCCGAGATGATCATGAGTGAAGCTTTTACTGTGTGTGACCTGATCCAGAGTCAGTGTAAGGGGAAGGAGAGAAAGTCAAAGGTCTCACTGTGTGCACCACTGACTGACCTGCTCTGGGGTCTGCCGGCCCGTCTTCTGCAGGGCGATGATGGCAGTACGGAGGGGGTAACCCCGGGCAGTGATGGCGGCCAGCAGCTCTCTCTCCTCCAGGCTCAGAGCTGACAGGAGTTCTACTGACGAGTCCGAACCAGAGGAGGGGAGACCCGGGGCGGCTGAGGTCATGGATGGGTTTCTACAGGAGTCTGGGCTGAGAGACTTCTAGGAAACGAACAAGAGTGTGTAGTGAGTGGGTGTGTTTACAGGAGAGAAGCAGGCAGCGAGGATGAAGACAGCAGCAGTCAGTCATATTGAATCTGTAATGCTGACAGCAGCTTTGACCTGAGATGCAGCTTTGCTGAGAAAGACATTTTCAGAGGACTTCCTCCCGCTAATCCTGATGAACCTCTTTTAACCTGGCTGGATTCAGGGAGCGGACTTTACACAGTCTATTTTTATAGTGCAGATCTCATGGAAATATTTTGGAAATGTGAACGGAAAAAATGGTTCGGATTGATTTCCTCTTCCAGCAAACAGTGTTGACATTCATAAGCTGAATTAAAGGCCATTCAAAGAGTGACTCATCAGCACGTTGACTATAAATACTGTCAAACTAATTCTGCTGTGTTGGGCAGCGAGGGTGTGTGCGGTGCTACAGTGAGCGCTGTCTGTCTCTGGCTTATGTGTGGAGATTTATAGTAGGGCTCAGCAGAAGCTTTAGGCTGTATTCATAGTCTGCTCCTGCAGACCAGAGTGAAGGGCTAACTATACTGCAGCTTTCACTGAGCTGCACTAAAAACTCTCACTCATGTGACTACATGGTGACCTAACATGGTGACAGCATGGTCATTCAAACGTTAGGTCACATCCTGTGTAACAATATGACAGGTGTTTTGAGTGAAACAGTCACTTGGAGGTAAAGGCGCTGGCTTTCAGTGTTAAAGTTGCCCTTATAAATTTTTTAATATTATCAATGTGTGAATAAATGCGTGAAAAGTGTTGCTCGCAGTGACTGATGAACCCAAAATCACCTGACTCTTATTTCAGCAGAGACTTTTAGCATCTTTTAGCTCGTTGTTCAGCTGTCTGACCCACGATGTCACTATTTTGTTTCACTCTCTCGGCTCTCATAGTGGCTGTTTTCAGAGAAAAGGATTTAAAAACCCTCGAACACTACCAGGAGCCTTATTTACAAACATTCTGAGAATATTCTCGGAGAGCTCATCACTTAGCCTTAAATGTTTTAGTAAGGAGTCCTAGCTTAAAGGTGCTGACACACCAAACCGACATCAAAGAACTAGCAGCGACGAAAGCCAACTGTTGCGTCGTCTACGTCGCCTCACGTCGCCCTGTGTCAGTTGCATTTTAACACACTACAAAGACTACATCCAACGGCCAAGTAGCACGTACGTTCTGCGCCTGCGTGAGAAGAAATAACGCAAAAGGGGAAACCGGAAGTCCAAGGAATGCATGAGATAAACAAAGTAGTGGAGTGACAGAGTGGTACATCCTGTCAGCCGAGGGGTTTCCTATCTGTGCAGCCGAGCACCGCAGCACCTCCACGGACTATTACATCCAGACGGTCCTGGTGTTTCCTCCGCAGGCTCCACTTCACTCAGCTGCCCGATAAACCCGCTGCTTCTTCCCACTTTAACCTGAATAACAAACCAGGGCTCGGTGCTCCGGTTGGATCCAAACGGAGAGCCGGGGCTAGCTGGGAAGCTAGTGGACGCTAACTGGCTGTGCTTCCCTCCGGTCATGCTGCGGCTAACGCTCCGCTAGCCGCTCCCACCTAGCTCCGGTTTGTTATTCAGGTTTAAGTGGGAAGAAGCAGCGGGTCTGTTGGGCAGCTGAGTGAAGTGGAGCCTGAGGAGGAAGCACCGGTTAGCCCCGGTTTCACTACAGGCAGATTCACTCGCTACAGGGGCGAGGAAATAAAACCTGAACAGCCAATCAGAGTGATCTCTGTCACTGACAAGCTCCGCCACTGATTCAACATGCTCAATTGACCAAAAAGCCTCCGACGCCGAAGTGCCGACGGTGTGGGACACACCGCAAAAACTAGGCCGACAGACGCTCAGCGATGGCCCGACTTTGACCGACGGCCAACTGCCGGCTTGGTTTGTCAGGGCCTTTAGGAGTGATTTAGGAAAGTTCTCAAAGCAACTCTGAGCAATGAGGGGACAGAAATTTGACGTTTATAAAAAGGGTGTGGTCAACCCTGTTGCTGGGTGTGATGCATTCTTTTAACACATGTGATTGTTCTCTAATGTTTAAATGTTACACTCTTACTGTGTATCTGTTGTTGTGGTCGTTGATGCACGGGAGCCTGTCGACTGTGTTGGCCCTGGTGGTGGGGGCCCTATGTGGGGACGGGCTCTTGGATTGGCTGTCTGTGTTGGGCTCGTGGTGTTTGGGCGTGTCCAGCACTGACAGCGAGCATTGTCGTAGGTTCTTCCTGCGCTGGTGTGGCAGGCTGCTGAGGCAGGTCGGAGGGTTCAGGAGGTCGGGGACGAAGGCTCTCTGTGCTGTCCTCTGAGCACGCTGACACAAAGCAGCAGGACGTTCTCCACCAGAGCTGGCTTTCACCGACGAACATGACTTGGCTTTCTCTGCGGCGCTCTCTCCATCATCCTCAGAGTCGGAGATGGCCAACTTGGCGCGCAGGACGGCAGGGTTGAGGCTGTAGGAGCGCTGTCGAGGATTGGGCTCCCAGAAGTCGGAACAGTGGCGGCTGGCCAGGCGGCTCTGCTGCGGGCTGCTGAACATCATCCAGTATGGCGGGCAAGATGGCTGCAGTCCTGATGAAGAGGAGGAGAGCTGCGGGCGTTGCTGGCTGGTGAAGCCACTCTGGAGCCCGGTTAGCACCCACTTCTCCAGACTGAACTCATACTGTAACATGGACAAACAACATGTTAGTGACGAACGGCCTGCTACTCTGAAACTTTCTCTCCTCTCTAGTCACATGTCTTAAACACTCGCTACATCAGCATGGTGGCTCCACTCCAGGAATCGCATTGGACGTCTCAACACCAGTTCATGATGAACAATCATAAGTCTAGATAAAAAGCCATGGAGTCACTTTAGTTATTTCATCCTGAGGGGAACATGAATAATGAACCACATTTCATCACAATCCATCCAGTACCCGACGACATGTCTCAGTCTGGACCAGAGTGGAGGACAGACAGACGGACATTGCCATCCCTTGAGCTACACTGCAATCACAGCTAAAAATAAATGAGCTGTACTTTGAGCTTAAAGCCAGCATAGCACGTTAGCATGCTATTGCTGACAGAGGTAGATGAAGTGCAGCTTAAAATAACATCATGGCCAAAGACCAAACTTTTACATTTTCCGCCACTCTGGTGGTTAACCCTAAAAACTCTAATCATGACCTGATTACTCAGGATAATCCACAGACCTTGTTGTGAGCAGTTTCACGTAGGAACTACTTTCTTTCCCATCAACCGTATCGCTGTACACAAGAAAGCGTGAAGGAAAACACAACACAATTTGAGCAGGTGTGTGGTTTTAGGAGAGACAGCAGCAGGACAAACACACGTGAGTCTGTGTGCACGTTCAGACAAAGAGGAAAGCACACTCACCTCTGTGTCCCGCAGTATGGTGAGATAATCAGGGACAACAACTTTAACGTCTTCTTTGACTTCCTGTGAGGTACCCTGTGGCATCTTCAGAGGTACGCCTTCCATCCCACTCAGTGCACACTGCAACACACACACACACACACACACACACACAGACTTTTGATTCTTAATACAGTCACCAACACCCCAGTGCAGGCACATGAACTACACACACTGACATCAGGGTTTCTGCAACTTAAAGCAAAAGTTTTACCTTGTTTCATTGTATTTGTGTAATCGTATTTTATTCACTGTACTTTTATTTACTGGGTTTAATCAAACTGTGCTGCTTTCTCTTGTTTTTCTTCTGAATGCACTTTATAACGTTGATTTAAAGTGAGCCAGTGGCGGCCCCAGCACATTTACTGCCCTCTGCGAGCCTCCCCCCTCCACCCAAAACTACATTTTACAAGATTACATTGAACACATCATGAGAACGCCTAACATTAATTTTTACTGAATAGAGCTTGAACGCTTCACAGTGTAAATCAATGCAACCTCTGTGAGCTGTCTGTTGAGGCCAACGGCTGCTTAGAAGTAACAATGACGAGCTCTCCTTCTGCTGATTTCATGCCCCATCTCTCCACATCCACTCCTCTCAGTAGTGTCGTGGTGGTTGAGTGGGCACCAGAAAGCTTTTGTCGTTTTGACATGGTAACGATACAGCGAATTTCAGGGTCACATGATGTCGAATAACTCGCCTATCTCCCCCAGAGATGAAGTGGAACGCAGAAAAAAAGGCCTTGCTGTGTTGTTATGTTGTCGTGGCCCTAAATAACAGTAGTGATAGTATTAGCAAAAAATGGTAAAAGATAAAAATTTGTCATTTTTTCTTCCTCCATTTGTAGCGCCCCCTATGGATGACAGCACACTTAGCATTCGTCTATACTGCGCCTGTGCCATAAGACTTTTTCAATGCCATTTAAAATGTTCATTTTATTTTGTGGAAACCTGAACTAGGACTTTAAGGAAAATCTTAACTTAAGATGTTTTGTGCAATCAGGTATCAGTGCAGATTCAATACTCAAACATTCACTGACTTTATTTAGCGTTACACAAAAGTACATTGTTCATTCATGCCATGCTTCTCTGTGTGTAAGGCCAGTGAGGACGCTGCAGCAGACTGAAGTTAACTGTTTCTAATGATGGATTTTAACCACAGATTCTGATCTCAGACTTTGTTTTTAACTTCTCCTTTAACTTGTAACTCTTCTGGTTTAATATTTGAGGTGAAGATGCCGCAGTGTGTTTCCAAGGATACTTTGTTCAAACTGCGTTCCCGTGCTGCATGTACACAAACAATCCTTTGACAGGAAACTGCTCAGTGATCAGGAAAGCCACCCTGATCACAAAGGAATCTTCTGACGCTCTCCACCACTCCTTCGAGTTACTGCCATCAGCCAGACGCTACAAAGTCCCAAACTTCTTCAATTAATCCTTCATTCCCTCTGCGATAACCACCCTAAACAATCTGAAGTAGACACTGACCTTTGACCTGCATTTATCAGCTGCTGTTTTAACAGTCCCCTTTTTATATTTGTTTTAAATGTGTTTTTGAATGTGAATCGTGTGTATTGTTGAGCCTTGTCAGAGGAGAATTTCTGTCACTGTTAAAGACAGATCATAAATTCTGTCTATCTATCTGTCTGAAGCTAGTTGCAGCAAGATGGTGTCTCTCACTTCTATTGTTTCTAATTCTGTCCTCCTGTAAGTCTCTCAGACTTTGTGGTAAATTTAGTCACGTTAATGAGATAAAGTTTTCCTAGGAGCACTTCTACTCCTCTTCCACTGACAATTGACGGGAGAAACTCTACTCTCTTCAGTCCAACTGAGAAAAGCTGAAAGCTGCTTTCCCAGAAACCCGTCTGCTCGCTCACACCTCTGCCTGCAGCGTCTGGGTAAGACTAGGAGTAAACCATAAGGCGCACGAGGTAAATCTGCTCAGCGTCCTCCGTCCCTGCTGTCCTGTGAAAGCTAATCAGACATTTGCTCCAGTAACACCAAAACACCAAGAAAGCAGATGGTCCCGGACTTACAGCAGCAGAGAGGACAGATGCTCTGTAAGCTCATCACACTGTCTCTGACGTGCTCGACAGAAACACGCAGACACTACTGGGCAAACCATAGTTTGAACACACACCAGTTTAAGACCAGCACAACTTCACTCAGGAGGAGTGAAACATTTAAAATGTGTGCATCCTGATGAACAAATGTCTGTGCCACTATCCCCATTTTTATAATCTGCAACAAAGAAATTGCAGCCTTTTGTTGTGAACTTTCATTATAGTTAATATCTCTCAAGATCAGAAGCTGCAACATCTTTTAAAGCACTTCTTTAAACTTAAAAAAAGTTTTATTTTCACTGTTTTATGTGTTTATTGTATTTGGAATCTTAAATTTTATTTCATTCACTTTTATGTACTGAGTTTAATCAAATTGTGCTGCTGACTTTTGTTTTTCCTCTGTAACAAAAATGTGCTTTAAATAACACTTATCATGAATATCACACGACAAATGGGATTTTATATTTTGAAGCCTTTCTTTGAACGCCACTCAGAAAACACTTTAATTTCACAAAAGCCAAAATTGAAGGAAAGAGACATGAACTGACATCAGTTACTTAAAATTAGGGGAAAATGTTGCAGAAATATTTGTTCTAACAAGACATGACTTTTTGTTGATGTCAGTCAGTGCCATAGGTATTCAGTAAATTATTATTATTACTTTAAAACTGACCAATTATTTTGAGAATGCAATGACAGAAAAAAATGAGGCAAGTAGATTTAAGACTTTTTATATGCTACTCAGAATGAAATTTAAGACAAATTTTACACAACTGAAAAGACAAAAATAACAAGAACTGACATCAATTACTTTTTAAGTTAAAGTTAATGCAAGAGGGTTTTTTGAAAGACTGATTTAAGACATTTTAATACCAGTTAAGATCTTGTTGTAAGATGAATGAATTCAGTGCCTTTTAAGACTTTTTAAGGATCTGCAGGACCCCTGTTTTAAATGTTTGAATAGACAGTGTGAGTGTTATAACATGTTACAACAGTTTATTGTTATCACATTCAGATGCTTCGTTGACTGCAATTTTTTTTGCAATTGTCTGCCAGTTCACTCAAAGAAAAGTCCAGCTTTGATCAATATATATGAGTAATGGGGAACATTTTGTATTGGTGTTATTTTCTGTGTAATAATTTGCCTTTGAAATAAATTTGAAAAATGTACTGCTAACTAATCTTTCTGTGTTACAGTAGCTGTAGAATCTATTTGCCCATTTAAATTATATTTGAATGTTACAATAAATCAAATATCAGCTTACCTGTGTCGTCTCGGAGCTGCTGTCGGTCAGTCAGTCAGGATCCTCTCAGGTGTGTGTGAAGTTCAGACCGACACTGCTGGTTACATTAAAGGAGCGCCACCTGGAAGACTAATCTACTGACTGACAGTAACCCACATCAGCTGATCTGCTGTCAACAACAGAGAGTCGAGGCCTGACGTCTGACAGGATTATACAGCAGCAGGATACAGATGGCAAACTGTGTAAACACTGTGATGTGACATCAGCTGGAGTCAAACGCCTTCTCATCTTTAAGAATACCACAACGTTCTTTGATTATTAATTAATCTGTGATTATTGTGTGAAGGCACGACCGATGCCGGACTCCTAAACCAACATTGGGTTTGTCACAGTATTCACATTAGATATCGAGGCACTGAAAAAGTTCCTCTGCCAGAGAGAGGTGGAAACATTGAAGAAGTGTAGGCTGCTGGATATTTAATCTGCAAACTTCATCTCCCAAAGGATTAAATGATGAGATGGCATGTCATGCTGTAATGGATTTGGGCTTCTCAACTCAGCAAGACCCATTTATGATACACGGCATAAGAATATACAATGTTGAACATTTTAAATGATTAATGAAAGCTGCCAGGCTGATGTGTTAATTCATAAGATCAACATTTTTTGTAAATAATCTTGTACATGACATTTATTGAGTGAGGAGCTTGAGTTTTTTTCCCATGTTCCTCTTGTTCCATTGTTCTCTCGTTAATGGGATATGTGACACATGATGCACAGGCTGTCTTCAATTATTGAGAGACACACCCACAGCTGATTAATTCCCTCACACCTGGGCACACCCATGAAATGGGTGGGGCAGTTTCTATTTAAGCTCAATGTTGGAAATAATGGTGTTGAACACTCTTGATGAACGTCCAGGAGGACCAACGCGTTAGTAATAAATTGTGAAGCTGAGCAGGAGCAGTGTGCAGGAGTGTTCAAAAACTTAAATCATTTTGAATATTTTTTTTTATCTTTGCACCTCTTGTTCTGTATTTTTGCTATTTTAATGGATTTTTTTATTGTAAAGCATTTAGTAATTTATTTTACCTTTTCATATCATTTTCTCTTCACTCTTTTATTGTTAATCTCTATACTTTATTATATTTTATAGCTCTGTAAAGCACTTTGAATCGCCCTGGTGTGTGACATATGCTTTACAAATAAAGCTGCCCTGCCTAATTCAGAAATCCAGAAATATGACTGGACAGACTTCTCTCACATCTGTTGTGATTATTTATGACTCATGGCAGAGCTCAATGAGATGATCTATCACTATGATATGGCCTGCTTTTTTTTTTTTAATTTTGCACTAAAATCTTTCCTGCATTTTATCATAAAGCCTTTTTACACAAGTGCGTCCTCACACGACATAATGCTGTGGATAGTTTTGGGGAAACAGCAGTGAGACATCCAGAGAGATTTAAAAACGTACAGTATTTTATTATTGACTCAGAGTATCTCCACGACAGCAGCAGCATTTAACTCTGTGACCTCTGCAGTTCTCGTCTCATCACTGTCATCATTTATTAAATCAGACATTAACAGTCTGACAGTGCCAACACGCTGCAGATCGCTTGAAAAAGATATCAAATTGAAAAGATCACAAGTTCACTGTCTCTTTTTCCTATTCAAGTCAACAGCTTTGGAACAAACAACTTCTAAATCCTCTACAAACGTCTTTGCTCCTTATGGTCTTGTTTACATGCACTCCTCAGCTGGCTTTACACCAACAGTCCTCCCACAGACTCCTGCAGTGTATGTTTGGATTTAGTGCTGGATGTCAGGCACTGGTTGACTGTACATACAGTGAGTCAGAAGCTGTCTCACTCGGTGTCAGCAGTCTGCAGAGCAGAGGCCCAGGCCTGGTCTGACGGAGCGTCTGGCAGGATCCAGCTCTGAGGAACCGAAGAACCGTCGGGATGATCTGCTGGAACCACAAACACATCCCACTCTCTCCTGAAAGAGAAACGTATTACAGTAAACGAGTAATTACATCATCATCCTCAAGCTTACTTCAATGGCTGCATGGTAGCAGCGTGCGTGAGCCTTAAAGTGACAGTTCAGATTTTTTGGTACTCAACGGAATATACTGTATGTAAACAAGGATTAGAAAATCATTGGACTCCCATTGTCCCAGCGTTTGGAATCAGGGTTGTATTTATTTCTCGTGTCCCTTTTAGGCTACCATAACTCTGTACTGTGACTATTTTTTTTTTTACCTGATTTGTAGTAAAGCGTGCAGCGAGTGCTCGGCCTGCATGTAATATCCTCTGAAGGGCTGCAGAACAGAATCAGCAGGAAGCTCATCTGAGAAACAAAACACACACGTGTGATTCAGTCATACTGCTGTTGAGCTATTGTTCCCCCTCTGGTGTCGACAGGGGTTTGAGGTGTTACCTCCAAACAACATGGCGTCCACTCTCTGTTTCCTCTGCAGGTGTCTCTCCCTTTCCTTCTTCACTCGTTTCTCCCGCTCTCTCCTCCTCTCCTCCTCCTGCTCTCCTTCCAGCATCACCATCAGAGCTTTCTCCTCTGCTGAGTAAACTGCCGTCCTCTTCTTCATCACACTCCTCAGCTGCTCCAGTCTGCTGCTGAACGCCTCGTCACACTCTGGTTCGGTGACGATACCTGCCACACACACACAGTTACAGGCTGTAGGCTACAGGCTGTGCATCTTTGAGAGTTAGCGTCATGCTACAGGTGTCTTCCCTTATGATCTGAAGTTGCACCCAATAATCACACATGCTATCATGGGACTGGGAATAAGGTGCACGGCTGAGTAACTCTCACCTTTCCTCGATGCAGCCTCTTTCCTCAGTCTGCGCAGTTTCTCCAGAGATCTCAGGATGTCCTGCATCCTCTTCACGTCTGCCTGCTTCTTCCTCACCTCACAGAGAACAGAGTCTGCGGCCAGCTTCAGCTCCCGCTCCTGGTGCAGAAACAGACACAAATCTGACCATTCATTTTTGTTTTCTGATACTCCTCCCTCATTATCTCATTGTGACTAAATAAAGCTACCGTGGTTCACAGGTTATGATGTCTTATTGAGCTATATATCCCAGCATGAGATGATCTGTGTACAGCCATTAGTCTTTAAATTATGGGACCCTGATCAAATATGACAAAAGAAATACATTTGCATAAATGGACGTATTTAAAGCGTTTACCGTAATATTCAAACAAAAATCCCCAGATATCACCTGTCAACAGTTATAAAAGGGGCAACTGATGCTTTGCAAATCTCAAGCTGACTCCCGTCCCCTCCATTGTTCTTGGATAAGGGCAAAAACTGACAGATACAGTTCTAAACACCAGAGTAAATATAATCAAAACTATATCTATATGACTAGATGCCATTAGCAGGGTTTCCCCAGGATAAAGTTTAGCTGAATCACAAAAGTAATTCATGCAAAATGTCAAATATATTTCTGTGCTCTAGGTGCCTGGTGTTTTTGCCTGAGTGCTCTGAACTCCTCAAGTTCAAAGAACTTCAACTCCGAGTAGAAAAGTCATCTCTGCTTCTTTTCCCATTGTCCAATCGGATGATTTGAGAGGTGGGCCTTCTGTGGTGGTCAGGGCAACAAGTTTACAGTTAAATGATGGAGGAGAAACTGGTGGTAGTGGTTGCTGGATACCCAGAGCTATACGGCCTGATGATAGACAGCAGGTTGTCAAACTGCCCCTGAGTCATCCTGAAATATGCCTGTAAATGTCCATGATGGAGGAGAAGCTCATGGACCAACTGGTGGTACTCCCCATGATCCAGCCTCTTTTTTAGGGTCTCATGTACCCACACAGATCTCTGTTTATCTGCTGACAGCCTCTCACCCTCAACCACAGCTACAGACAGTACCCTCTGCCTCAACATGGCAGCAACTACACACTGATTACTGCAGGATAAATACAATAAATAATAAAATAAATAAATGGTAGATTGATTACATGGGAAAGTTAGGGTAAGGAGGTGAAGGTGTGGTTGCCTGGCAACAATAATAAGGTGCAGCAAGCATTTTCTTCCGTGGCATTCAGTTAAAAAAGGCAGTGCAGTGCGCCTCCTGTTTTGCAACCTGCCTAATACTGTCTGTGTGATCAGGATTTAAAGAGACAGTCGCTTAGACGCAGCATTTTGGACAAACAGTGACTGCAGGTGTGTTCGAGCAGACTTTATGAGAAACATAACGTGTGTTTTGAACATTAAGGCATGTAAGCATGTTGTAGTAGAAACCCAGAATACAAGTTTGATCCTGAAGATGAGCATACTACGGGACCTTTAATGTGTGTAACCTCCTTACCTTCTTCTTCTCCTCCACCTCATGTATCTGCTGCATCCTCCATTTATTAATGGCAGCCTCTTTCTCAGTGATTCGCTCCTCTCTCAGTTTCTCCTCCATCTGGAGCAGTTTCCTGGCTCTCTGTCTCCGGGCCCTCGTCTTTGTAACCCGAGATATTTTAGCTTTAAATCTGTCCAAACTCTCAGTATCACTGAGGACTCTGAGTTTGTCCTGTAGCTCGCTCTTCACATTTAAAGCCACTGAATACGAGTCCGCCCAAACAGACTCATCCTCCAGGTTGTTCCTCAGAGTTTCACAGGACTGAGCCAGCTGGGAGACGAGCTGAGCTGCCCGGTACAGAGCCTGTCTCAGGTCCGGGACAGAGCTGTGGGGTGTCTGCTTCTCCTGCTGCTCCTGCTGGAGGATCTGTGGGGACGTTTTGTCTCTGCTTTGTAAGAAACGTCCGAGCCACTGTCGATCCTGCCTCCTCTGTACAGCTGTTTCATCCTCAGGTTGAGTTGTTGGTCCCGGACTCCTGTCATGGTCCTGACCCTGCGGGGGGAACCGTGGGCAACCATACGGAGCTCCACCCTCGGAGTAGTCCTCATACTCCTGCTGCTGTTTCTGCCCGGGGTCCAGGTCAAACCGAGCAGGCTGAGGAGGGTTAAACTGCTGGGGAAATGTCTGAAAGGTTGAGACTCCCTGGCTGCTGTATGTGGGTATCGGAGGGGGGGTCACCATGTTGGGGAAGTGTCCTGGTGGAGGACAGCCGAAAGGAGGCGGCGGGACGGAGGGGTCAAATCCGTACGGAGGAGGCAACCGAGGCCCTCCGAAACCCCCTCCTACGGGAACAGGAGCGGGGAAATCGCGATTAAATCCGAACGGGTGTCCGTCATATCCCTGAGAAGGTGCCCACTGAGGAGCACTGTGGTCCGGACGTGTTGGTTCATGAGCCGCGCCGGTCGGCGGAGGTCTGTTAGCGGCGTACGGTGGCTCCAGATAGCCGCCATTATAGAGCGGAGGCTGCTGCGTGTCTGACGGAGCGAGGTGATATCTGTTGTCCATGACGAGTACTGTAATAATCTAACAAGTTACATTCACTTCATACACATAGAGCCACTCTTTCAATCCTTCAATGAAGCCATATTTTGTTGACGTCACGTGATTGTTTCTTCTTCCTGTTTACGGCAGCTTTAGTACCTTCAGTGGGTCACACCGCCAACAACACGCAGTGGCTGAAGTTGGTACTGCAGCCACGACTCAAAATAAGGAATCTGCCATTTTTGTGTTTTACTGCTGCTGTTATTATTAGTCACACTAATACTATGGATATAATTGTCACTTGCATATACTGTCATATATTAGTATGTACACAAAACATGTACACTACCAAAATACTATTGTTATTAATACTTTATTGTAGCTACTGTCATTACTGTTCGCCTGCATCTATCTCTGACTCTCCCTCTCGTAATGTATCATTTAGTCATATGCATCACTGTGCATTTATTATGCTGATCTGTTCTGTACACACAACATCTATTGCACATCTGTCCGTCCTGGAAGAGGGATCCCTCCACAGTTGCTCCTCCTGAGGTTTCCACCATTTTTTTCCCATTAAAGGTAATTTTTGGGGGGTTTTTCCTTATCCCCTGCGAGGGTCCAAAGGACAGAGGGATGTCTAATGCTGCGAAGCCCTCTGAGGAAAGTTGTGATTTGTGATAGTGAGAAAATTGAATTGAAATTAAATTACTAGGCCAAGGGTCAGCAACTTGAATATCAACTCTGTCTGGTGTGGCAAAATATATTTCAGCTTCGACCTCATAATCAAGGTAACACTAGATGAGCCTTTCAACATCACTAACAGATTAAAATAAGCATTCATCATTAATATGTTTTACCACAAGATGGCTACTCTGC